GCAATATATTTTTTTAAAGATTTTGTTTATTTTTGACAGAGAGAGACAGCGAAAGAGGGAACACAAGCAGGGGGAGCTGGAGAGGAGGAAGCAGGCTCCCCGCTGAGCAGAGAGCCTGATGCAGGGCTCGATCCCGGGACCCTGTGATCACGACCTGAGCTGAAGGCAGACATTTAATGACTGAGCCACCCTGGTGCCCCTAAAGTCAATAATCTATGTTTCCACCTCAAGAAACTTTTTTTTTAGGGGACAAATCAAATCCAAAAATAAGAAGGAAAAGAAATAATAATTAGAGCAGAAACCAATGAAATTGTCAACACGAAATAGAAAAAAAAAAATCAACGAAACGAAAGCTGGTCCTTTGAAAATATGCATCAGTTCAAGAAGCCTCTCGTCAGGCTGGGAAAAGAGAGAGAAAACACAAAGTACCAAGATCAGATATAACACGGGGAACTTGGTTACAGATCCCACAGAAACATAAAAACAGAAATTCTATAACACGAATGTGATAACTTAGATGAAATGGACCAGTTTCTTGAAAGACACAATCTGCCAAAATTCACACAAGGAAAAAACGATCTGAGTGGTCCTGTATCTGTTACAAATACGGACTCAATAATAACCTTCTGACAGGAGACACCAGGCCCAGATGGGTCTGCGGGTGAGTTCTACCCACCATTTAAGGAAGAAATTACACCCATGCTGTCCACTCCCTGCCAGAGGACGGAAGCAGAAAGGATACCTCCTAACTCACTGTGCGAGGCCAGGATTCCCTGGATACCAAAATCACAAAAAGACATTAAAAGAAAACCACAGGCTAATGCCTGTCATGAACACAGATGCAAAAATCCTCGAGCAAATCAAATCCAACAACATATAAAAAGAATGACACCCACACCCGGGCCGACTCATCCCAGCCATGCAAGACTCGCTCAACATTTGAAAACTCATTAATGTAACTAAGGACTAAAAATAAATCACAGAATAGGTTCATACCAATAGATGCAGAAAAAGCATGACAAAACGCAGCTCCCGCCCGTGATAAAAACTCCCGTTAAACCAGGAATAGCGGGAACTTTGTCCATGTGATAAGGACTATCTACAAAAACCCTACAGCCAACATCCTAGTTCATGGTGAGAAACTCAATGCTGTCCCACAAAGATGAGCTCCAGTGCCAGGACGTCCCCTCTTACCGCTCCCGCCCAACACTGTGCTGGAAACCCGTGCTCACGTAACAAGACCAGAAGAAGAAATTAAAGGTATACAAATAGGGAAGAAGGACACAACTATCTTTGTTTAAGATGACATGGTCATCTGTATAAAAACTCTGAAAGAATAAACAAAAACTCCTGAATTAATAAGCAATTACAGCAACGTGGTAGGATACGACGTTCATACACAAAGCCTACGTTCTCCTACAGACCAACAGCAAACAGGTGGAATTTGAAATTAAAAACAGTATGACTTACCTGAGCAAACCTGAGCAGAACACTCAGGAGTATCGGGCTGTGTGTGTGTGCGTGTGCGCGTGTGTGCACGCATGTGTGAGATCCACGTGAGGAATGCCACGGAACTGACGACTGGAGTCAAAGAACAACAAAGTAATGGACAGACACTCCACGTTCGTGGGAAGACTTAACATCGTCAAGATACCAGTTCTTCCAAAACAGATCCCAGATTCCACAGCATCACAGTCGGAATCCCAGCTGGGTGTCCTGTGCATGTCGACAAACCAATTCCTCCTCTACACGGGGAGGCAGGAGACCCCGGACAGCCAACACGATGTCGACGGAGAGGAGCAAAGCCGGAGGGCGACGCTGCGGACCTCAAGACTGAGGGTAAACCTACCGTCCTCGAGACAGCGTGATGGCAGAGAAACAGCTAATGCACGCACAGGACGGAAGAGAGAGCTCAGAGACACAGCCCGGTCAGCACGGTCCACTGATCCTGGACAAAGGGGCAGAGGCAGCCTCTTCCGCAGATGTCACTAGAACAGCCAGACGCGCACACGCCACGTCGGAGTCGAGAACCAGGCCTTCCAGTCTTCACAACGACCCCCTCAAAGGCGTCACAGACCGAAATGTAAAATGTGAAACTGAAACTCCAGAAGTTCATACAGGAGAAGACCTAGACGGTCTTGAGCGTCGTGATGCCTTTTTAGATCCGACACCGAAGACACAGTTAATGGAAGAAATAACGATCTACGGGACTTCACGGCAACTAAAACGTTCTGCTCTGGAAAGACCGTGTCGAGAGAATTGGATGACAAACCACAGACTGGGAGCAAATACTTGCAAAAGGCACACCTGACAAAGGACCATCATCCAAGATATACGAAGAGCTCTTACAACTCAGTGAGAACCCAACCCAGTCACCACGCGGGCCACAGACTGGTGTTCCACTGGACAGAGGAGTCACGGACCTCCCCCTCTGAAACTCTAACTGTAAATTATTTGACTATATAGGCAAATTAACTTAATTTATAAGTAAATTCATTGAATTTAAAGAAAGAAATTAAAAAGAAAAAAAAAGTGGTCCAAAGACCTTAACAGGCACCCTCCAGAAAAGACACAGGACGTCAGTAAGAGAAAGATGCTCGTGTCACAGGCCCTCGAGGAAACGCAGATGAAGACATCAGGGACCCCCGCCACACGCCTTGCAGAACAGCCAGAACCCGGAACGCCAGGAACCACGTGCGGGCAAGGAAACAGGGCGCTGAGACCCTCCCCCACGGACGGCGGAACGCAACCCCGCTGGGCACTTTGCCAGACAGCTGGGCGGTTTCTGACAGCAGCTCACACGCTCTCACATGCCGCCCAGCGGCCACGCGCCTTGGCATCTACCCGAGGAGCCGAGGACTTCTGCCACATGAAAACCCGCACGTGGACGTCCCCGGAGGCCCTGTAACTGCCAAACTTGGGAGCACCAAGGACGCCCTTCGGAGGGTGACCAGACTAACGGGCCCCCACATCTCGACGATGGACCATTCAGCACGAAAGACAGATGAGCTCTCACGCCGGAAAGACAGGGAGGAACCTCAAGTGCGTGTCGCCAAGTGGAAGAAACGGATGCGAAAAGGCCAGCGTTCCAGCATTCCAACAAAACGGACCTTCTGGAAAAAGCAAACCTATGGAGACAACGAACGGATGAGCAACGGGCCGCGGCGGGGCCGGGGTGGGAGAGAGACGAGCGAGCAGAAGGGTTCTGGGGCCGAGAAAATCCTCCGCGTGATACTGTGATAGACAGACACACGTCGGCACACCCGTGTCCGGATCCACGGGGCGCAGGACGGCAAGCGTGACCCTGACGCGCGCGATGGACTCTGGGTCAGTACGACGCGTCAGCGCAGGCTCGTCCTTGGTAAAACATACGCACTCTGGTGACCACGGGCGTGAGGACACACGTGTGGGGAGAGGGATGTGTGAAAACTCTCTATCACCCCCTCAACTCAGCGTAACCCCGAAACTGCTCTAAAAAAGGGAGTATTAGGAAAAAAAATTGGGGGGGCGCCTGGGTGGCTCAGCCAGTTAAGCATCCGACTCGACTTTGGCTCAAGTCATGATCTCAGGGTCGTGGGATCGAGCCCCATGTGAGACTCTGCACTGGGCATGGAGTCTGCTTGACAGTCTCCCTCTCCCTCTGCTGCTCCCCGCCAGCGCCCCTCTCTCCCCCACAAAGAATAAAAATAAAAAATTAAAGAACAAAGTAGTTCCACGCATGTCAGCATGTGAATACCTTCAAGATATTAAGAAGCAGACAAAGGATCTAAGGGAGGGTCTCCCCAAGGAGCTACAAATGGCTGTCCGCACACAAGAAGTCGCTCAGGATCGTGAGTCACTAGGGAACGCAAATCCCGACCGCGAGAGTCCCGTTCCCCAGTGCGGATGGCGAAGGCCGGGAAGACAGGGGACTGCCAGCCCCAGGGAGGGTGTGGGGGGGGCCCTTAACCTCCAGCCACGCTGGTGGGGACACCTCATGCGCTGCCTCCAGAATGGCAGGCAGGTCCCCGAACGTCACGCAGACTCACCGCCCAGCCCGGTAGGGTCACCCTGAGCACGGACCCAGGAGAAACGGAAACACGTCCCCACAGAGCCCATCCCAGTGTTGGCAGCCGCACCATTCCCGACAGCCACGACATGGAAGCCACAGTACACCCATCCATGGCAGGACACACACACACAGTGTGCTCTGCACACAGAACAGAGTCTCACTCCGCCGTACTGGCCCCGGGGCGCATGCAGCCGCTGGCGCAGGGTCAGGCCCACGAGCACAGGGTTGGGGGACGGAGCCGGGCACCTGTCTGCGAGGGGACGCACAGGACGGGCAGACCCGCGGAGACAGAGGCCATCGGCGGTCACCGAGGGCGGCTGGGAAGTGGAAAGAGGTTGCTAGCGGGTACGAGGGTTTCTGTTGGGGTCAGGTCGGGATGAAAGTGTCCTAAAATTGGTGGCAGCGATGGCCACTCTGCCACGAGTACTAAAAAGCACCGAACCGCACATTTTAAATGGGCGAACGGCATGTACATGAATTTTATCTCAACAAAGTCTTACACGCTCACACTCACACACACACCAGCCCTTGCGCCACCCCCCACCCCCGCTCGCACACCCCCTGAGGGCAGATGTCTGCAGCGCCGGCCAGAGCAGCCCCGGGGCCGGGGAAGGGGGCTGGCCCCCGGGGAAGATGCGCCGACTCAGCGGCCTGGGGGCCTCGTGACCTCTGACAAGCTCTTCCGGGCCGGTTTCTGTGTCTGCAGCCTGTGGACCGCGCGACCCGGCTCACAGGGCCGAGCGAGTGAAAACCAACCCCGCGTGAGCACGTCTGGCACAGGACGAGCCGGGCAGCACACCCTCTGCACATGCGGAGGAAATGCCCCCGTGCCCGAGGGGACCGGGCCAGCGGAAGGTGCACGGCGCTTTCACAATCTACGTGCAGAATCATGACATGTTATCAGACACAACCCACGTTCAGTTTCAGACGCCGCTTTCCAAAGACTCACTTGAGCTCAGTGCCCCACTGTTTGAAAGAGAAATTAATGGAATTTGGGTGCCCGGGGGCCGGCTGGTGAGCTGCTGCTTCTCCTACCAGCTCTCCAGGGGTGGCTTCCACAGCGAGGACGTTTCTGGCTTTCTCTGCAGAAGCATCCGGATGTGTGCAAATGACATCTGAAAGACAGGCAAACAGAGGTCAGTCCTCCACCCTTCCTCGCGGAGCTCCACGTCCCTCGTGAGACACGGACCCGTGCGCCATCGGCCACGGGACAGAAACTGTGGTGGCTTCAGTCACCTAAGGCCCTTCCATGTCTGTGACGCGGCTGGAAGGGACCAGGTCCCCTGTGCTGTCTCACAGATAAGCACAGCGGCAGGAAACTGTGACCAAGGTCCACTCGCCTGAGCCGATGAGGGCCGACTCCCGGGATCCGCCATGACGCAGAAACGCAAAGTGCCTCTAAGAAAACGGGCGGAGGGGAGTGTCCTGCACACACTCGCTAATACTGGCGGTGGCGACCCAAGGAAGCAATCTGGCACGTCCCAGAGCAATGGCTCAGAAAGGTCACAGGAACACGGGCTCTAAGGGGCGATCAAATCTCAGAAGGGCTTTAAACGTAAGCTTCTGAAATACCGAAGACTGAAACGGCTGGTGTGTAGGATTTGCTTCAAAATACCAGAAAGTGGGTCGGGGTGTCCAGGGAAACCAGAAGGGCCCATGAAGCAGGAATTCTGGGAGTCACCCAGGAAATGTGGGGCAATGTTACAGGTTCTCTTTGCATAAAACTCCCCCGAGTAGAACTTCTTTCAATGTTTTGAAAAACGTCCCCAACTGCAAATACTCTGCGTTCTCCTCGGTGGTGCCCTCCTCTCCCCGAGGGCACGGATGTTTGTAGACAGAGGACAGCCTGCACTCCCTGTCCCCGTCCAGTCCCCCTCCCCATCACAAAGAGCCTCTACTCCAGCAGCAGCGACCCTCACTCGCTCGGAGGCAAAACCAGGAGCGGCCTGAGCACAGACACCGAGTTAGACGCCGCTTCTCGCGGGAGGAGCCGGATCTGAGCGGCTCAGGAGGGCATCCGCGGAGGGCCCCGGGTGCTGGCAGGGAGACCGACGCCAACCATGGGCGCCCGCCGCACAGGTGCGACACTAAGCGACTGGGTAGCGTGGGAAGGGCTCAGAGAACCCGCAGGAAAGGACAGGGCGGGAGGACGTGGGGGCCGTGTTTCCGTCGGGAGGACTCGGCTGCAGCCCCAGAGCAGGCTCCTGAGGGGGACAAGCAGGAGGGGCGCTGGGGACAGAAGAACGGGGGATGGGCAGCGGGTTGTAAGACTCAGTGACGGAGGCCTGAATCACGCCTCAGCACAGTTTCCCGATTCTCAGTTCGAGTCACCACCGCCGGTGAGCACGGCGTGCTCGCTGCACGGCCAACAAGAACACGTCTGGGAAGGACACACGAGAGAACAGAAGGTCACGCAGGAGCAGGAACCCCCTGGCACCCGGAGCCTGGGGTTCTGGAAGGCGTCGCAGGGACCTCGAGGGAGCGGAGGGGGGACCCCGCCGGCGCCTCCAACCACAGCAGCTTCTCTTCACTCCTTTAGGCAGCAGCCCCCGAGGTCTCACCTGCGAAGAGCTCCAGTACACACAAAACGACGAGGTCAGACACTGGGAACCAGGTCCAGCCCCCTGGCCCTCAGGAGACAAACCCCGCACGGCAGGTGCCATGACCGTACCGCCCAGGGTAGGGGACTGCACTGGCGGAGGCCCACAAGGGGCACCCCCGTTCAGCCGAGCTCAGGAGGCCGAGGGCTGGTCTTCGCAGAGCTCGCAGCGAAGACCCACAGGCCGGGCCGGGACCTGGACGCGGCGCCCGGGCTCCCGTCTGCAGCCGGGCCAGCCTCTCCTTCTGCGTGGCCGGGGGCGAGTGAGCAGCGGCCCTGCTGTGGGCGCAGGCTCCCAACCTTCCTGGAAAGCACCTCCTGCCCAGAGAACCCCAGGCCCTGGGACCCTCTCCCCCCACACACACACACCGGAAACGCTTCCGAAGGAGCACGAGCCACAGGGGCCAGCTGCAGACAAGGGCCGGGAGGCCCGGGACGATGCCGGCGGAACACACCGTCTCTGAGAGTAATTCCACGTGAAAAAGAAGCAATTTCCCAGTTTGGGTACGACTGTCATTTGCCTCATCTTCGGTTTTTGCATGAGTGTGTGAGATTTCCTTAATCAAGGACAGCGGCAGGCTTGCCCTCCACCCACAGCGTCCGCGCACCAGCATTCAGGAGCCGCCAAGAGGGGACGTAAACTAGGTCACGGCGGGGTTTCCCCGGAGTCCAGCTGGCAGCCACCGGATCCCCCAGCTCTGGTCGCGGGAGCCGCGCTGAAGGCTTCCGGCCTCTGTTCTCTGCTCTTTTCCAACATCTGCAAACCTGGCAACTCGGACGCGTCCTGACCGCGGGGCTCCCCCTCCTCACCACTGCTTCGACGCAGCCAGGACGCTGGGTCGTCCACACAAGGGGGAAGGCCACGGGAGAAGGCCACTCCCACAGGTGGCACAGAACACGGCAGAAGAGGGGTCTCTCTGGGAGCTGGAGGACAGCACGGGCTGGACAGGAAAATGCTTCTTTCCCCTTTATCAGAGTGAGTTTTAACCCGGATCGCAAAGCAGTGGTCAGAGCTGTGGTCAGAGGCAGAAAAGATATCTAAGTGAGGGCAGTGTGCGTCCTCAAGCGCCAAAAAGGAGGGGCTCCCTGGGCCCCCAGCGGGCTGGTTCATGCATCCGGCCTGGCTGGTTCCACCCCAGGCATAAGCCTTGTGACCAGCAGAAAACAGGGGCTCCCACGCACTGGGGACCTGGACCACAGACGAATACAAGATGGAGTGACGAGGGACCAGGGTGGGAGGCCCTGTACCTCCCCAGAAAGCCCACGTGTCTCCCTTCTAACCTGCCTCTCATGTCACCTCCCTTTGAGAGACCCCAGAGTCCAGGTGGGGACCACATCTGGCAGACAACTTTCCTCTCCTGCCTGTGCCACTCCCCACCTTGTGCTCAGACCCCAGCCTCGGCACCAGTCCAACCCAGCTGGTCCGCACCCCTCCGCCCACGGCACCCCCGACCCAGCTTGCCCGCACCCCTCCGCCCACGGCACCCCCGACCCAGCTCGCTCGCACCCCCGCCCCCTCTATCCATCACCAGGCTCCAAGGAGGCCCCTTCCAGGTACAACTGGAAGCCATTCCCCTACACATGCACTCCCTTTCCTGGCCTGATGTGAGGCCAGACGACATCTGTTCACAGATGGGCTACGTGCCCACATCCTGTGAGTCCTCCCCACTGGGATTGGCAGCCTCTCGGGCACCACGCAAGAGTCACTGTGACTTACACTTCCAAGCAGGTCACAGAGAGGACAGCCTCTCTGATCAGCTCACGGGGTGACAGGTCTGCATCCTGCCCCACGTGGGACTTCCCTCTGTCCCCACAATCCCTGCACAGACTGCCCCTGGCCCCGCTGGCCCCGAGAAGGAAGTGTGTGGTCTCCCCTCAAACCGTCCGTGCTGTCGTTTTCTTCAGGAAGCACGCCGCGCTCAGCCAGGTGTCTGGGCGCTGGTGTGCCCCCGTGGGCCCGGACTTGCCGGAGCCTCAAGTGACAAGGTGTTGTCACCCCTGCAGTTCGCCATCAGTCCACGTGGGAAGTGAGCGCGACAGAAGGAGCTCTGTGCGGCTCCTGGAACCGGGCCCTCAGCCTCCTGCGCTGGCTTCCTACGGGTCTGGCTGCCTCGTGCCCAGCAGCTGGGAAGGGCTTTGAACGCTGCCTTTCGTCCTTGCCAAGTACTCCTTTGTGTGGAAACTAGGTCTTCACCACCCCAGTGCCCAGACGTGCGGAGTCCATGTGTGCAGCGCGGCGATCCCGCGGGGGCCGGGCTGCCGGCAGGTGGAGGAGACGGACACAGCCAAGCCACCAGTCCTGTGCAGCCTTGCGAACATCAGCTGCAGGCACGAGACACAGAACACTGAACTCTGGAGAAGGAATGTTCTGGAGGCCAGTGGGTGACGTGCTGCTCAGGGCTCCCCACATCCCTTCCTTCCTCACATACGCTGATGGGGACGTGGCCATGGGCTCAGCTCAGAGCCTGGCTCTCCCGCTCCCTCCAGGCTGGGGACAGCCATGCCGCACTGGCCAGTGAGGAGGAGGAGGCCAGGGACCCCGGCAGAGCCGCCTGCTGTCCGCCCCCCCCGCGGCACCGCAGCAGGCACAGAGAGCTGCCCCATGAGGCCCGCAAACAGAAACGGCTCGGCCAGCCACGGACAGCGCTTCCCAAGACAGACATAGCCCTGTGAGTGAGGCTCCCCACAGACGACCCCAAGGTAACCCTCTCTGACTCAGAATGACACTTCCACAGGTAACGGGTCTGCCCTCCGCCCATCACGGCACCAGCGTGAGGGGTAGGCAGCCCATTCCCATTCCAGCCCCTGCCCTGGGCCTCCTCCCTCCCTTCTGACCCACCTCCAAACCCTCCAACCCTTCCAGCACCCCCGGCCCCGCCCCCTGCCAGGGCTGCAAGCCACCATGGCTTCGAGCTGGACCCCAGCCCCGTTCTGCCCACCGGTCCCATCCCCCGCACTCGGCACGTCCGACCCGTCGCTCACCCTGCTCTCGCTTGTCTGTGATGCCCCTCTGGGTCTGGGCCCGGACCACATACCCAGCTTCGCTGGCCTCGCACGGAGCCAGACACCAGAATCGGCTGCTCCTTCTGCATCCCGAGGCCGCCCCGGGCTCACCGCCTCTCACGGCGGTCCGACCGGCCCGGGCCCCTCACCCGGCCACACAGTCCTCAAGGACACAGACTGTGACTTCTCGGTCCTTAGAGCCCAGGTGCGCAGCACACTGGCCGGACCGTCCCCGCCGATGAGCAAACAGGCTCAGACAGAAACGCCGGGCGCGGTGCGGTGGGGCTCAGCAGCCCTCCCGGCGGCCTGGTGGCATGAAGCACGTTCCGCTCGTGGGCCCAGCCTCCCGAGATGCACAGCCGCCTGCCCCCGGAGCTGTCATTCCCGCGAGCCTCCCCCACAGCGACGTCAGGGGCCGGGGGCACGGGTGGGACCGCAGGGGGGAAAATGAGAATGTCCCAACAGGGGCGGTGAGGACGGAGGGCGGGAAGATTATTTTTAATGCAAATCAGAGTTCTAAACACATTCGCTCTAGCGCCCTGGGTCTGCCGGACGCACCCGTCCTCCGAGTAAAGGAGCCAGGGCGGCGCGCTGGCTCGGTCGCTACAGCCTGGACCTCTGGCCCTCGAGGTCGTGAGTCCAGGCCCCACGCTGGGCATGGAGATTATAAATACCTACAACTGAAGAACAAAGGAAGAGGACCGACGGGTGCCCCCAACCCCGAGGGACCAGGGGCGTCACGAATGTGCTCAGTCAGTCTCAAGGTCGAGACCGAGTCACAGGCTGCTTCTGGTCCGAACCCCTAGGACAGCGGCTTTCAAACCCGCAGTGGAACCGTGATGGAGCACCTCGGCTCCGTGTCATCAGCGTGGACGCCCCCGAGAATGAGCTGAAGGCCTCACGGGACCACGTGGGGACAGGCGTGACGCGCGTCCAGCACCACATCACTGTGCATGGGGACAGGCGTGACGTGTGTTCAGTACCATGTCACTGACCACAGGGTCAGGCCACAGGACCTGGCAAGCACTTGGGGGGGCAGGGCAGCAGGGGCCCGTGGGCGAGGGGGCCTGCAGGGGAGGGGCTCTGCAGGCAGCTGTCCCCAGGCTTGCGGGGAACTCGATGGAGACTGTGCTCCGTGGAGCAGAGGGCCGCGCGGGCGTCAGGAAGGGCAGACCTCACCCCTCCCCCGGACTCTGGCTTGTGCACCCCCCACGCCTGGCTTCAGGCCTCCGCGGCCTGCCCTCTCCCTGAGGAAGCCAGGAGCCAGACGCCGGCCCGCCCCGGCCCCCGCCCGACGGTCAGCGGGCACGTGCTGCTCCACAGTCACGAGGACGTCAGGGCGTGTCACTGTCGATCCTGCAGTAAGAAGCTCCTCATCTCCACACTGAGACCGTCTGCAAGTTACCAAGAGTCGTGCACAAGCCACAAATCTAGACTGAAATGGAATCGATTAAAATCTCCCTCGGGCGGACGACGGGAGCACAGGCTTTGAGGACGAAGCGTGTACAAGTGATTGTGAACACGTGGTGGGGGCGCCTCACCTTAGTGGGCACACGCAGGCAGGACCGGGTCACCCTCACCTCTCGACTGCATGGGGAGTCCCCCAAGGCCGTCCTCAGGCTGGAGTAGGACTCCGTCCGGGGAAGCACCCGGAAGCGACGGAACGCCGCCATGGGAAAGGATGGTCGCTACTTTGGGTGGGAACTTGCATCAGGCTGTCCCGCCACGGCCAACAGATCCCCCTCCCGTGACTTACCTGGGTTATCTCTGGCTACGAGACCCTTAGAGAAATCCCCGGGGGTCGGGGAGGCCCTGCTGTCCCCCTTCACCATGTCCAGACCGCTGCAGTACTCCCACCGCTTCTGCTGGAGCTCCTGCAGCCAGTAGGTCATGAGCTGACGGTTAGGAGCCTGCAAAGACGGAAGGGGAGAGCGTTACGGCGGGACGGGCAGACGCACTCTGCCCGTGGACCGTGGTGGTGGGAAGCACGGGTCAGAGAATCCGTGGTCGGGAGGAGCCGGTGGAGCACCCAGTATGGACAGTGGGAGCTCAGGCCCGGGGAGAGATCCTCCCATGTGCGGGACCTGGAAGTCTAGGACCATGAAACACCGTCCACAGGCGGTTTCAGGACGGCTGGCCAGCCTCACGGCCCTTGCACGTGGCACAGGCATAAAGCCCATCAAGAGCTCACACCTCGTGTAGTCTGGGGAGCTGTCCTGGGCGCACCACGTCAAATAACCCTATTTCCACCCGTGAGCCTCTGGGAGGGTGTCCACGGGCACTGCAGGCTGGACTTGGGCGAGTCTGATGGCCACGACTTTTTCCATTGATGAGATCAAGTGGCAGGAGGGGTGCCGGGCCATGGGCCCGTTCACGACCGCCCCCACGGGCCCTGCACAGCGGGCACCAGGGCAGATGTGCTTGTAGGAGAATCCTCGGTTGAAAGGGAAAAACCAGGCTGGGGAACAGTTAGAGACCTCGTGATGCTCTCTCACCAAATTCCCCAGGGCAGAAACAAACATGAACGTCACATGCTTTCAAGGTCTGACCCATTGTTCGTGTTACAGAAGTCTGATCAGTACGGCAGGGAAAACCGCCTCGAGGCGATGATTAACTGGGGTTCCTTCCCTTTTTAAAATCTGGAAAGCTCCGAGGGCATCTCGACCTCGATCCCGAGCAGAGGGTGGAAGGCTCCGGGGCTGGCATGGTCTGCGGGGAGGCGGGAAGGCCAGGGAGACCCTGCCATCAGGCGCCCAGAGCTCTGGACAGACCGGCAGAGGCTGCAAGGCTGGGCGGCACCCACCGCACCAGGCGGCCTGTCCGCGGAAGTCCAGCCGCCGGCACCGTGTGTCCACTCGGCGTCTCTGCACGGAGGGAGGGCGGAGTGGAGGGCCGACCTTGCCCCGACCTGATTAGATCACGATCACTAACAAGCTCTCGGTCACCCCGGGTTCAGTCTGGCTTCACCACGGAAGTTCATCTCCAGACCCGCCCAGCGCAGCGGCCCCCGGACACATGCGGCCACAGAGCACGGGAAATGCGGTGGGTACCACAGGACGGAACCCTCTGGAGGCCTCAGACTGTGTCACCCGTACTTGAAAACCGAAAGCCTGCCTGTCACGCTCCCACTGCGTGCTGCTCACTCCAGCTGCGCGGGACCGTGATGGGAAATGCAGTCCACTCTGGGAGCGAGGCTGGTTGGAAGGCCAGGGGGCGGGACGCAGCCTTGGGGACTGAAATGAAGGCCAAGGGCATCAGGTTCCTGGAGCGACCCCACTGCGCCCCTGCATAGGGCTGTAGAATTCCAGATGTCGTCTCCGATCTTTAACCACAAAGATGCCAACACTGTTTAGGGACCAACAATGGGTCTGGCTCGTCCGGCTGACGGCTCACATTTCTGTGCCTCCTCTGCCCTTCTCCAGTGGGGTAAGTAGGACCCTCAACAATCTGACGTCACAAACACCTCCACGAGCCCATCACCAGGAGTGCCCCCCAGTGAGGCCCAGCTCAGCTGGGGACACAAGCCAGTCTGCGCTAAAGCCTATCACCACCACACTGTATCTGCCCAGCACCCACCTGCCACAGGGATGGGGAGCAGGACTGGGAGAGGGGATCTGCCCCCGGCCCCCCATTTACAGGGCTCCAATCCCAAATTCTGGACAGCCAGATGGAACTCCCAGTCATGCTGGAAGGGGCAGAGCCAAAGCTCAGCTGAGACACAGCAGGTGCCCGTGGGACACCAGCGTCCAGCAGGAGGCCAGGTGCCAGCGTCTGCCATCTGAAGACTCACCAGGGCCATATCCTAAGTCTCTGAGAATACCAGTCTGTCCAACTCCTATACATCCCGCAAAGCCCAATGCAAATGTTACCTCCAGAGGACGTTTTCCTGAGCTGAGCCTGCATGTTCTCTCCATCCTCTCAATGGAATCTCACCACACCACGTAACCCAGGTAAGCTTCCCACAGACACAGGCGCACTCCTCGTGTGTCCCTCATCGGCCTGAGTTCCCTGAAGCCGGAGGTCAGACCTGTTGCTCTCAACATGGTCGACGATGCCTGACGCACTCGGATATCCGACTTTCTCATGTCCGGCTGCTCCTAACGCGCCAAGGCTGCTAATCCCAGCCAGACAGGGCACCAGTCCCAGCACGAACAACACAGGACAGGACACCTTGGACAGCTGTACGTGCGAGGGCCTCAGGGGCCAGGGGCCAGACTTGGACTGGGCAGGCGCAGCCCTGATCTGAGGCGCCTGCGGCATGGAGGGGCCGTGTCACATCAGGTAAGAGGATGAAAACCAGGCCACCCACATCCAGCCTGACGTGGCCGAGAACCACACGGTGCTCCAGCTGCTCCCCCAGATTCAGTCCCCAGGCCTGCAAACCCAGAAGCCCACATGTGGGGAGCAGGCCCCAGCCCCCTGTCCCTTCCCCTGGACACTCCCCCCAAGCCTGGCTCTCTCCCCAGGGCGCAGAGAAGTCCTATCATAAGGTCATCTGGCCACCACTCCTGGCAGGCGTGTTCCTACAGGAGGGGCTGGTGCAGCGACCCTGCAGTCACGGGAGCAGGGTGCCCTGCACCCACACCGCCAGCACACCACCCCTGGGCCGAGCTCTGCACCCCGGGGTCTCCAGCCCTGTGGGAAAGAACTCAGCCACACAAAGCTCATCCCCTTTGACCCGCATCATTCCTGGGCCTCTATCGAAAGGAATCCAAAAGAAGGAAAAGGGAAATATGCCGTGTACACAAAAACATCGGTTCATCTGCTCAGCAAATATGTACCGAGTGCCTGACTTGGACCGAGTGCCGGTCCCGGCCGGGGACGCAGACCTGGGTGGGACTGGCGGATTCCTGCCTCGGCCACACCCAGGGAGCCACGGCTTCCTTCACAACAGCGATCAACAGCTAGAAGCGTACTCCCCACCACAGCCGGAACACGAAAGGCCTGGCCTCGGAGACAGAAACCCTCCTATGGGACGGAAACTTCCCAAAATCCCGGTCCGCGTTCTAGAGGAGCTCGTCAAGACGCAGCAAGGAGACCACAAACTCATCTGAAGTTCACCCCTAAGTGACCCTGGACAAAACCAGGGGGGCGTGGGGCTCTGCCCTTCCAGGCACGGAAGCCTGTGAGGAAGGCACAGCAGGGCCCAGCGGGTGAGCCCCGAGTCCGACACAGAGCTGAGCTGGTACGGAACGCAGGCTTCCAAACAAAATCAGGAGAAAGACTCACGATTCAACGATGGCAATCAGGACAGCTGGTTAGAAATTTGCAAAGAAAGAAAACGAAGTCAAATTTGGTTCCAGATTTGAGTGTACAGTAAAGGTCATTAAATCACACAAAGAAAATGCCTACATGATCAAGTTTCTGTCTCTTTTTTGCATCCAGCGACAGTAGCCAAGCAGATTTCCGCAGAATTTCGAAGGGGGGCCTGGGGGTCTGACTCTGGCCCACCGTAATCCATGCGAAAGCTCCCAGCAGAGCGGAGGGCGGCTTCAGTCAAGCACCGTGGGCAGCCACCACAGGGACCGCATGCACCTGGGAAGGACCACCGCTCCCCGAGGCTAAGCCCCAGACAGAAGGCCCAGGGACAGGCCTTTGAGGGCTGCTTCCTGCACGCGGCCTGGCCCAGGAGTCGGCTCCAGGCAGGAGGCGCGAGTCCCACCGGGCTGATTATTTTCCCCAGAAACAAAGGGGAGTTACTACTGCAACAGTCTTAGTCTCTTGGAATGTAAAGACCTTTCTACTCCCAGAAAGGAAGGCACAGAGAAAACTGTCTGTCCCAAACAACACATCCAGAAGTAGAAGAGAAACGACAAATGGAGACAGAGAGCCAACAGCCTGCAGGAGCTGGAGGTGGGCGCGGCCGCCCTTGAGGGAGCCCACGGCCAGGATTCCTGTCTGCCTGGGAGCTCCCGCTCACTCTCGTTAACAAACACAACAGAGGGCCGGGGGCTCAATCGGTTGGGCGTCTGCCTTCCGCTGAGGTCATCATCCTGGAGTCCTAGGACCGAGTCCCGCATTGGGCTCCCGCTCAGCGGGGAGCCTGCCTCTCCCTCTGCCACTCCCTCTGCTTGTGCTCTCTGTCTCTCAAATAAATAAATAAAACCTTAAAAAAAAAAAACCCACAGCACATTGTAGACTTTTATTTCAAACAACAGTAACGACCCAGGTTTGCTGTGCAACTCTGAGGACGCAGGAGAAAGAGCACGGGACGCCAGCCCTTCACCAGACGGGATGGCATCCGCCCTTTGCCGTGACTCCTTCCCGATGCCCTCCTGTCCCCCAGCCCGGTTTCCTTCACACAACCGAGCACGACAGACTGTGACGTGCGTCCCACACTGGCGACAGCATCAGACACCATCAAGGACACCATCGCCACGGGCCGCGTGTCGGACTGAACGCGGCACACACGGTCATGCGATGCGTACAGCCGTCAGACAGCACGGTCCACGAACCCCAGTGTCAGCACCAGGGCCGGGCACCTGACATCTGGGCTCACAGCCCGCGTGCCAAGAGCGACGGGGCCCAGATGCCCCCTGGGGCGGACGCGAGTGAGGGCAGGAACGTACTCGCCCCCCTGCGGCTCCGAGGGCCATGCAGCCCATGTGCGGCCAGCCAGGACCGGCGACAGCACGCCAGCCGCACCTGCTCTCCCATCTCCACCGTCCTCCACAACCTCCTGGTGGGTGGGTGGCTCCGTGAACATCCAGCCGGGGTCTGGGGTCCTTGCGGTCTCATGAGGAAGAAGAGGGAGTGCACGCCCAAGACTGCACCCATCTTCCCGGCACCCCAGCAGGACCCACAGCTGCACAGCTGTCCTCGAGGGCCGAGCATGCTGGGCTCTGGGCAAGGACGCTGGCTCTGCCCGGACACGGACCGGGGTCGGCACGGCCGCACGGGGTCAAGGCGA